GCTCCAGGCTCTGAGCCATCAGCCCAGAGCCCGACGCGGGGCTCGAACTCACGGACCGTGAGATCGTGACCTGGTTGAAGTTGGACGCTTAACCGACTGCGCCACCCAGGCGCCCCGGAACAAGACTTTATAGATGAGAAGAGATTAGTGGCTACTGGGGGCATTTGCCATGGGGGCAGGCAAATGATGGGGCCTGCCACCAGTCAGAGGGCTTTGCTTGGCCAAGAAGAAACCAGTGATACTTTAAACATCCCTATGGGCTAAAACAACAGACAAGAATACATGAACATTCAGAACACAGAGCCAATCCTCCTCTTGGGTTAAATGTGTGACAGTGCAGAAGGCTGGGGCCTGAACTGAAAGACAGTTCCATCATCTCCCAAAGGTTGGGGCCCAAGTCCTAATAGAAGGGGAAGCCTGTAAGACACATAGATCATATCTTGCCCTCAAGGCATTTGAAGCCCAGGTGAACTTGTTATATTGTCATTTATAATAAAAAAATACATGTTTGGTCTTCATCCTGTTTCTGGAAGAGTGCTCTTAAAATCCTTGAACTTTCCTAAGTAATGATAGTGATAAAGGAATCTTGTTTGTTTATTCTTGCTTTTTTTGTTGTTGTTAATGGGGTAACTTTTAGAAAGTACCTAAGAATTGCGGCTAGTTGCCAGTGCAGTGGACAGGGTAATTACAGGTTAGAACTTTCAGTCCCACTCTCCCACCCTCTACAACCCCCACTCCCAACTTCTGGGAGTCAAGAGGGGCTGGAGATTGAATCAATTGCCAATGGCCAATCATGTCCGTGTAATGAAACTTATATAAAAATCCAAAATGAAGGGGTTCTGAGAATTTCCAGGCTGGTGAAGATGTGGAGATTTGGGGATGGCAGCACACCTAGAGGGAGCATAGGAGCTCCACACCCCTTTCAACATAGCTTGTCCTGTGCATCTCTTCCCTCTGGCTGTTCCTGAGTTGTTTTTTTTTTTTTTTTTAATGTTTATTTATTTTTGAGAGAGACAGAGACAGGATACGAGTGGGTTACGGGCAGAGAGAGAGGGAGACACAGAATCTGAAGCAGGCTCCAGGCTCTGAGCTGTCAGCATAGAGCCCGACGCGGGGCTCGAACTCACGAGCTGTGAGATCATGACCTGAGCCGAAGTCCGATGCTTAACCCCTTGAGCCACCCACTCACCCTTGAGTTCTATCCTTTTATAATAATCCAGTGATCTAGTAGGTAAAATATTTCTCTGGGTTCTGTGAGCCGCTCTAGCAAATTAATTGAACCCAAGAAAGGGGGTTGTGGGAACCTCTGATATAGTCAGTTTGTCAGAAGTATGTTAACCTGTACTTGGGACTGGGTCTGATGTCCAAGGAGGGAATCATTGGAGCCCCCCAGTCTGTAGTTGGTTGGTCAGAGGCACTGGTAATAACCTGGGCTTATGATTGGCGTCTGAAGGGGGTAGGGCAGTCTTGTAGGACTGAGCCCTCAACCTGTGGAATCTGGGTAAACAGTGTCAAAATTAAGTTGAATTGTAGGACACCACAGCTGGTGTCCAGGGATTACATGGGAATCTCCCCACACACATTAGAATTGGGATCTTGTTGGGGCACCTGGCTGGCTCAGTTGTTTGAGTGTCCAACGTTAGCTCAGGTCACGATCTCACGCCTTGTGGTTCGCAGCCCTGCATCAGGCTCTGTGCTGACATCTCAGAGCCTGGAGCCTGCTTTGGATTCTGTGTCTCACTCTCTGCCCCTCTCCTTTTTTTTTTTTTTTTAATTTTTTTTTTTAATGTTTATTTATTTTTGAGACAGAGAGAGACAGAGCATGAATGGGGGAGGGTCAGAGAGAGGGAGACACAGAATCTGAAACGGGCTCCAGGCTCTGAGCTGTCAGCACAGAGCCCGACGCGGGGCTCGAACTCACGGACCGCGAGATCATGACCTGAGCCGAAGTCGGTCGCTTAACCGACTGAGCCACCCAGGCACCCCATCTCTCTGGCCCTCTCCTGCTCGCACTCTGTCTCTCTCTCAAAAATAAATAAACATTAAAAAATTTAAAAAAGAAAAAAAAGAATCGGGATCTTGTAGCTCTTAAGCAGGGGAGCAACATGGGATTTGGGTTTTTGGAAGCCACAGTAATGAAATGTGTCACAGTTCTCAACCATTTTCTAGCACATAAGTTGGAAATTCATGTGCATAATATACTATGGGCTATCACACTGATCAGCATAGTTGATAATGCCATAGAGTACAGGAAACTATGAGTTGCAAAACATTAAGTAAAAGCAACAAAGATTGGTGATTGATTGGGCCTAGCTAGGTGAGTACTCTTGGTTTCAGTATCGGATACCTGGGGGAGTCCTGCCAGTGATGGGAATGAGGAGCATGGATAAAGAGCAGGTTTATTTTGGGGAAGGAAGGGTATAGATGAAGATAATTTTGAACATGTTGAGTTGGAAGTGCCTGTGAGATACGCCCCAAGCAATTGCATCTAGAAAGTACATAGTTTGTATGACCTGGAAGTCAGGAGATCAGGAATGAAGATGTAAATTTGGGAATCAACAGCTTTGAGATGGAAAAAAGATGAGCTCACTCAGGAAGCATGAGAAGCCAAGCTAGGTTCCAGGGTTCAAAGGGAAAGGAATGAACAGGAGTAAGAGCTCAACTCCCCGGCAGGAAGCTTGTACTGAAGCAGGTATTTCATAGCCTTCCTTTGAAGCCATTGTGCATCAGACCCAAAACAACCTCTAGTCTTGTCTCCTGCCTTTCCCTCTCTGCATTGTCAAGCTTCTCGCCATTTGCTCACTTAGCTCACCAGACATCGTGTCTGTGCCCGGCCCTCATCCAACTGCTCGTTCACATAGCAAATTTACTGAGAAGCCACCCTGTGCCAGGAGCTATGTTAGGTCCTGACCATACTGCAGTGACCAAAACATCCCTGCCTCAAAATGTTTACATTCTAGCGGAGACATACACACACACATAATTAAAAAGACACACACGGGAGCGATAAATGCTATGAAGAAAAAGTGAGCATATAGAGCATATAGTGATGGGGCTGTCCTATTTTAATGAAGACAATAAGGAAAGTCATCTCTAGAAGTCACATTTGAGATCTGAATGAAGTGCAAAAGTTCTGGGTGAAGAAATGGGGGCTAGAACAGAATGGTGAAATGAGGTAACAAGAAGCTAAATCATATATGTTTTTATAAGCCTAAGTAAGGAGTCTGGCTTTCACTCCTGTGTGACAGGGGATAACCGTGGAGAGTTTTGAGTACAGGAAGGACATGATCTGACTTAGGTTTTGACATGATCCCTCTGGCTGCTGTGTCCACAATTAACTACCAGGGGCAAGAAGAGAGGTAGAGGGATGTTTTAGGAGGCTATTACAATAATGCTGGGCAGGGTAAGTGGGGTTTCTTGTGCTAAGAGTAGGGATGGAAATGGCGAGAAGTGATCAGGGTATATTTTATAGGTGGAATGGACAGGATTTGCAGTGAGAACAGATGTGGGGGTGAGAGAAGTCAAGGATGACTCCAAGGATGAGCAGGTGAATTAATGATACCAGTTACCTCAGCGGTAAGTAATGAGCAAAGGTTAACTTTAGAGGGAAAATCGGGAGAATTGCTTTGGATACACAAAGTTAATGAGATGCTGATTAGACATCCAACTAGAGAGGTTGAGAAGACTATGGCTTATATGAATCCAGAGTTCACAGAACCGGTCAAAGCTGCAGACAAATGCTTGGGATTGGTCTGTGTACAGTGGTATTGAAAGCCATGAGTCTAGATGAGACCATCTGAAAGTATTGGACAGAGTCCCAGCTCCAGCA